GTTAAGTGGCGCTCGTTGTCACGACAATCCCAACATCCGAGTTAGACCTGACATGTCTCTCGAAGATAGAATAAAAGGGAAGAAAACACTAGCTGAACTAGAAACCCGTCGGCAAAACGGTGAGGAAAATCTCCAGCTAGTGGGTTTTCGGATATTCAGGTCTTGGAGGCGAATGTTACCAAGGCCTGTGTGGATAGACCGTTCTACTTAGGAGTTTTATATGCTAATGCTCGTAGTCTAAGAAATAAGTTCTATGAACTCGAAGCATTAGTGGACAGATTAAAGCCACTCATAGTAGCAGTGACAGAAACTTGGTTAGTCCATGACTTAGACACTACTCCAGAATTATTCGAACACCATTATCTCAGGAGCGATAGACATAAATGTGGGAAAGGAGGTGACGTACAGTTATATATAGTCAATAGCATAAATATCCGCTCCTCTGCTAGCGAGTCCCATGATAGCGGTACTTGTGAAGTCATAAGTTGTAAGTTGGCTATCGGATGTAGTACATTTATGCTCGGTGTCGTCTATCGCATCCCGATCTGCTTAGCTGATGACTATTTTAGAGCACATTCATCTTTGGAGTGCAAATACCAGATGCTTGATAATAGGAGACTTTATTGCACCTGATATTAGTTGGACTGAGATGACCACAGAAGGATATGTAAACTCCTTTGATAGTAGGTTCCTGGTAACAATAATGGAGCATGCACTAGTGCAGCATGTATCCAAACCCACACTTTTTAGTGCTAACCAAGGTTCTTCTCTGTTGGACTTGGTAATCACTCATGAGACTGAGGATATTGTCGACCTAAATAATCTTCCACTATTAATGAACAGCGATCACGCTGTTTTGTCACTCGTGTTTAGAACTAGGGACATGTTATACGATCAGGTTACACCCCGCCCAAACGTATGGAAAGCTAACATATCGGCCATTCAGGAGACAGATTGGTTTGTAGATACTAGCTTATCAGTTGAAGAAGGATGGTCTGTATTTAAAGGTAATTTTAGTTTAATTACGTCCCCGTTCATACCATACCTGGTACCACGAAGACCGAATAACAGTCCACCATGGATGACGAAAACAGTCAGGAAACTTCTTAGAAAAAGGAAGAATCACTGGAATATGTTCATCTCTACTGGCTTAGAACAATACAGATCCAGTTATTGTAACATTAGGAATACCTGTAAAGCGTTAATAAGTAAGACTAGACGAGCATATGAAAAACAATTGGTTATGGATTCTAGATATGGTCCGAAACGATTATTCTCGTATATAAAAAGGCGAATTCAGAGAAGCGATGGAATTCCATCACTTTTGATACAAGAAAATTCGTTAGTCTTGACAGAAAATGATACCGTAAAAGTTGAAGCTTTATCGGAATATTTCAGTAAAGTGTTTTCTATCAGTAATGAGGAATGACCAACGATTCATTGTGATCGTGGCGGCTAGTCATTGAGAAAGGTACTGTTTTAAGGCTACTTCAGCACCTCAAACCTGATAAGTCCAGTGGTCTTGATGATATTCATCCTAGGATTATGAAAGCCATATCAGATGTAATTGCTGAACCATTAGCGATACTGTTTGTCATGTCACTAAGGCAGTCTAGACTGCCCAAAGGTTGGAAAATACGCCATAATAAGTCAGGTGTATAATGCAGGGATTAGGGATTTAGTTAGTAACTACAGACCCGTTAGCTTACGTAGTGCACTTATAAAGCTGATGGAAAAACCATGCGAATATCTCGTATAAACTATGTTGAAGGGCATAATCTTTTCTCCAGGGAACAGCATGGTTTTCGGAGAGGCCTATCATGCTTGACAAATCTTCTCATTTCAAGAGAAGATTGGGCTGGTGTAAAAGATCGGAATATTCCTGTGGATGTGATCACCATAGATCTAAATAAGACCCTCGACAAGGTATCCCACTCTGGTCTTAAATTCAAACCGGAACGTTTTGGAATCCATTATACAGTCGTAGATTGGATAAGTAACCTTCCACATGACAGGAGACAAAGGGTAAGGGTTGGTGGGGCTTTCTCCTCGTGGGTACCTGTAAAAAGTGGAGTTCCCCAAGGCACAATTCTCGGTCCTCTTCTCTTTTTACTTTATGTAAATGAATTACCAACTGTAGCAAAATCATATGTTCGCTGATGACATAAAAATTTGGAGACCCATACACAGTATGTCGGATAGAATAGTATTACAAAATGATCTTAGCTCATTGGTGACATGGTTAGACAGATGGTCACTAGAAGTAAATCCTAATAAGAGTGTGGTGATGCAATTAAATAACTATGATGAATCGTATCGCTATACAATATGTGGATTCGTGCTGCACAAAGTAAGAAACTATAAAGCTTTAGGAATCATACTAAGCAGTAATCTCAAAACCACTAGTCACTGTAAGGCTGATGCTGCGAAAGGTTATAGGGTGTTATGGTCTATTTGTGGGTCTTTCCAGTATCATCTGTAGATGATGAAATGTTTAGATTATTATACCCGATTTATGTGCGACCACATTTAGAATATGGGATTCAAGCAGCGAATTCATAAGGAATCGAAACAATTGTTTCAAGTATGAAGCAGAGATGCTGAAAAGAGTCCAACGACGAGGTACTAAGATGGTACAATGTCTGTCTGGCCTTGCTTATGAAGAGAGACTGAGACACCTTAACTTATTTCCGTTATCTTACCGCAGAATACGGGGTGATCTAATAATGGCTTATCGTATACTGAACGATGACCTTGGTATTAACATGTCTTATCTTTTATTTCCTTCTATGACTGATCATTTGAGAGGACATTCGAAGAAAGTTCAAAAATGGAGATCAAATCGTTTACGTCTGGAGTTTCGTTTCTCGCACCGAGTAGTGAATTAATAGAATTCTCTACCGGAGCACGTAATATCAGCACCTTCTGTTGATATATTCAAAACGAGTTTGTACGTGCACTGTATTACAAATTGCAAGGATTAATATAGGTCGATAGACCTCCTATCCTTATTATTGAAGACTGAACTGATCGTACGTTAGCATTAAGCACTGACGTTGGCCCTGTAACCTTGAAATCTCTAAAACGCATCTGATTGGCTCGTCCATAAATTAGAGTCTCGCCGAATCGTCTAGTTTGCTTGTAATAGGATTACTGAGTAGGGAGTGAAACCAATCCAACGTTCTAAACACGACCTAATGAGGTATTTTTCATGATAAATCAGCATCAATACCTTAAGTTCGTAACATCCCACTAGACCATAGGGAGCCGTAATCAAACAAGACGTTCTGCCCTACAGACATGGATGGATTGACGGTATCTTCCCACCATCATGTTTGCTGGTCATTAACGCCATCCTCCCTCCTTTTGTGATGTTAGGCTCTCTTACGTTTGTGGTAAGTATGAATACTGCTTTAATCAAAGCCCATGGTTGGAATACACTGTCTCTACTAGTTCCATGTTACAAGCAAATCAGATAGTTAAAGCATTTGTATTACGGGTTAGATATCCATTTAGTATATCACACTGGTAGATCAGCATCCATAAGATTAATGGGTCCTCCGTCTACTTGCAAAAAATGACATGAAACGTAGGAAGAATAATGTATCTTTAACGATAAGAGAGGTTTGTGAACCGAAGGTGAGGGTTAGGAGCATAAGGCCATGATTAATGAACAATTAACAATAAGAAAAGATAAACCATATGTTCTGTAATTTAGTTATATTCATATCAATAACAATGGTGGTCGTTATATTCTTGATCGTTCTAGATATTAGGCGGTTCATAATAAAGTGCCTCATCGGTGGGCGATGGTTCACTAATACTTCGACGCCTAACTAAAGCTCGTGAAGAGCAGACTAGAGAAAACCAGGCTGTCTTTCGACCTGGACGTGGTTGTATAGAACAGATGTTCACACTACGTCAGGTTCTACAACACAGACACGTTTAGACGCCCCACAATCGTAGTATTTCTCGACCTTAAAGCAGCATTCGACTCTGTTGATCATGAGGTTCTATGGCAGTGTTTGTCACTGAAAGAAGTACCAAAGATGTACATTAACCTTATACAGGCTCTCTACTCAAACACAACTGGTACAGTGTGAGCTTATAGCGAACTGTCATCAGAATTGATTACCTCAAGTGGTGTTCGTCAGGGTTGTCCACTCTCTCCATTCTTGTTTAACTTTGTCGTTGATGTAGTTTAGAGATAACACATTCCTCGTGTAGATTTCCAGGGGTTGAACTTCTACCGGGAGGTTCACTTGTTGACTTAGAATATGCTGATGACAGTTTTATTTGGCGAAGACGCTGACAAAATGCAGAGTCTTCTGACCACTCTAAGCAACAATGCAAGCATGTTCGGGATGCGATTCTCCCCCTCGAAATGTAGAATGTTGCTTCAGGATTGGGTTGCATCAGTACATGAACTTATGATAGTGAGTGATGTAGTCGAGCGCGTCGACAACCCTAATGGTTTGGTGTCTGACGAAATATCTGCACGGATTCGAAAAGATCGTTTGGCTGTCGCCAACTTACGTCACCTATGGCGAAGCCGAGATATCCATCTACCAATTAGGGGACAAGTATACTGCACGACAGTTCGTTCTGTTCTACTTTACGGCTGCGAAACATTGCCATTAAAATTAGAAGATACTCGTAAGCTACTAGTATTCTGTTATGAATTTAAGTTGGGTCGATTTTTACCCGGTGCTAATTGTTGTGTCCTTGACTGGAAAAATTAGAGAGCAGCGTATTTATCGATCGATCCAATGAGAAGTAAACACGTACGGACGGCCTAGAGTCTCGATTGGTCCCGCTTCCCTGTCTAGCCTAGTCATTTGAATCCAGAACACAAGTCACAGCCTCGGAGATATGAATCATTTTATTTCAGACATACTCTATTTATATGCCAAACAAACAAACCACGTCATACCATAAAAACAGAAAACAACATTTACACAATATGTAACGAATGAATTAAATAATAGCCAATAGGGGATGTACATTTAAAGTCCAAGGTCACCGTTAGACCTAACACGATAATTATTGGTATATTATTCTACATCCATAACATATTCGATCATGGGTGTCTTCGAAGTATTGCTCGTATATCCGAGGATCACCGGGTAAATAATGCAGTTGTTAGGAAACGGGTACTATGTAAGGATGGCAAACCGATTGATGAAGTGAAATGTCATCAGTTGAGGCGGCTGGGACACGTGTTATGTATACCCAACCAACAAGTGCCCCGACATGAGATGTTTTATGGTGTTGGAGTTGGGTGAAAGAAAGGTAGGGGTAACCAGACCAAAACATGGCACATCCATAAAGTCACTGACGAATGGACTCACCCATGTCGGTAGGTGTACACCATTCGACCGGGATCTTTGAAATGATAGTAAACCACCTTGAGTGAAATGGCTCAAAATCGTTTGCAATGGCGTGGGTGTGTCCACTCTTTGTGTTCTTTCAAATTCTAACCTTCCGAATTCATGTTCTTGTTTCCTTTTTCCGAATTGATTTTACTGGATTATACTCCCTGGATAAAATCTACAAACCATAGTCTTCTCGATCGCTGCTTATACTTTTTACTACCTCTACCACCATAGGATATAAATCGATTATTGGATCTCTGTGCCAGTGCGGTGTGTACGTACGAATTTCTACGTTTTTGCTGACTGATTGACGGTTTTTGGTGTGGAAATATACATACGTTCTAGTCAGGCTAGTCACGTGCTCTAGATCTGAGCAGTATTGAAGCCCTGCAGAATGGACACTAGGAGGGTATCTAGTGTAGATATTCGTCTAAGGTAAATTAACCAACCATATGTGTAGATGAGGAAACCGAGCATTCTAACAGGGACCTTAGATACAGTATGTGGTCGTTGTTTGCCAGTCGTGGGAGGTATGGTATTTTATTTACATATTCTCAGTAGTGTGCACAGATAATATTCAGAAATGGTGCCTCAAGTTCCAAGTCAATATATGTCGGTTTTCCGATACGTTGTACAAGTGTGCACCGAATAATGGCTGACAAAATGCTGCTGTCAAAACATTTCCCCAAACTTGTGACGTCTATCTAGTTGATATACGGTGTGTCAAAACCTGCATAAACAACAAGGTTTACTCCTATAACAGATATGACTTAAAACAAAGACGCCAAGAAGAGGTAGATAAGGACTCTGATATTCACCAACCATCGTACATCATGTCGAATGATTTTGGGCCTTCTCGAGTTAGACCCGAAAGGTGTGGCCCGCCACTTTGCTTCCAGTTTTTAACTCATTAAGGTCATTCTTCTACTTGATTTCTTCATCAAGTGATAAATCAGGTTGGACACGAATATTCAGCTTGCCAGTTTTGCATGTGTTATTTATTATAATCTCCCCTCTCTTGTAACTTATGAGGGCCAACTTTAAGATCCTCCTTAATTGGGTCCAACCTCATCCTCTTCAGATCATGTGTCTGTCATCTGACGGGGTCATTTAATTTTGGCTCATTTATGCTCTAAATTAGGCGTATTCCAACATTTAAAAAGATTAGGATCATTCATGACAGGACCGCTATCCAGCGTCGAATCTGCAATGGAACACAAACTGATCAACCCAGCTTACGTAGTCGTGGCAGCTACAGCTCTTGTCACTGCACAAACCCTAAAATATCATACACTGCCCCCCCAAAAAACGGAGGCACGTCGGACACTGCTATTAGTCCTAAGGACAAGACCGCACATAAAGCAGCTACAACCACTCACCCTCAGCCCAGACACTCAGCTACCCCAAAATGCCAAACCACTTATGCCTCAATAGCGTCCAAGTATTACCCTAGCGGCCCTTATAAAATGCCTAAAAATGATCCTCCCAGGGATCGCGCTAACAGCTACAGACCCGCAGACACCGCTGTGCGAAAAAATACCAAACTCTCCGTAAAAACCCACCAATACTCCAGCACCCCAAACCCAAAACATGCACCTTCTCATAGTAATAGAATGCCCTACAACAAACATAGAGAACTGGCAACACCCACTCATCCTAATGTGAAACGACACTCGACAAGAACCACACCCACACGTGATACCCATAAGTCATATGGTGTCAACCTTGTAAGCCCCATGAACCAACACAAAACTATACATAACAGAAACACATCTCCTGGCAACAATAACAGGCATTCCTTCATCCCTTACCAGAAACATAAACCACCCCAACTGACCACAATAGGACTAAAATTGCCCACCGCACACGAGGAAGTCATAACGCTGGCCTACTTGGGAACCCACCTACAGATTCTAGGTACTATCCAAGTCAAGCCACCCAATACAACGGTTTAGACCCCCTAATTCGACATGCACACTATCTCATCCTTTTTTATCTCTCTCCCCCTCAACATTACTGCTATGGGGTCTCCAAATGTTGAGGGCGACAATCCCACTATTCTGAAACCATCTATATACTCCGATTTAATGGGGAGTAGCACATCCTACTCAACTTCGATAACTGTCTCCAGTCTTGAAAACTCCTTGACTGAACCCCCTGATCATTCCCCGGACACATTACCTAATCATTCGACTCTACCTTCCACTCTTAGACATACTTCTTTCACCAAAACCACACCCGACTACCCTTCTTGCATTAACCCTAATGGTAATAAACTAAACACTCATCAATATGGAGTCAACGCTCCCAATTCTTCCTTTTCTCAGGGCAAAACAGACAAACCACTCGGTTTACATCATACCCTTCTACTAGACAAACAGTCACCGTACCTGACACTTATGTTAATCAACGCTAGATCTGTACAAAGTAAGATGACTTACCTACGCACCCTATTACTTTTAAACAACCCCTCACTTGTTTTGATAACGGAAAGTTGGCTGTCCTCCGATACCACAGACACATTTCTACAAATAGACACCTATGAGCTCTTCCGCTGTGATCGAGTCACCAAGAAGGGTGGTGGTTGTCTCGTCTATGTATCAAAAAATTTGAGAGCGGAAACCTATAGCGACCACGTCCTCAGCAAACTTCCTGAATCGATATGGCTTACTGTGCACACTCATGAATGTAAAATACTAATCGGATGCATATATCGAGCTCCTAACACTCCTAGTTCAACTGACACTATTATAAGTGAGTCATTTGCTCAGGCTGCGTCGCTTGACTTCACATACAAAATTGTATGTGGTGATTTCAACCTTCCCACCATCAACTGGAAGACACATTCTGGCCCATTGTGCTTTGAAAGCATACTTAGGTCCTTAGACATACACGGCTGGCAACAACATGTACACCTGCCTACACGAAATCACAACATTCTTGACTTGATATTCTGTCATAGTGTCACACCAACATCAATGGTGGTTAGCGAAAAGTTTCACAACAGCGATCATAAAATAGTCCTCTGCACCCTTCCGATTCTTGCCATATGCAACAAATTAAAGACATTAAAAACGCGATTCCAATATAGAGACTATGCAAACGCTGACTGGGAAAACTTTCGATTTCTAATAAAGCACTCTGACTGGGGCAGTTTCTTTACCAGTAATAACCTCTTAGAAACATTAGAAATATTCAATATCACCACCAAATCTGCACTAGACACCACTATACCCTCTAAAATTGGTTTTAAAACAGTTACTCCCTATATAAACCAAAAGACTAGGTCTAAACTGAGAAAACTGAAAAGGATGTACTATATATCAAAAGACTTCAGTGCCCTGCACCAGATATACTCTGTACTTGACGGAGTACAAAGTCAACACAACAAGCATAAACAGGTAGAGGAACGTACTGCGCTCGCTGCTGCATCTAAAGCCCAAGCCCTATGTCGTCTCCTCACGAAACGCATAAGAAAGAACACAGACAACAACATTCACTCCTTACTGCACGATGGAGTAACGTATAATGACCAAACCGTCATATGTGAACTATTAAGTGAATGGTTTTCTCACAATGGGAATACATCTGATGCCCCAGATATCGACATAAAGTGCACCGGCAAAAACTATCTTAGTACCATAAACTTCGACATTATGAGTATACATACCGCCATTAAAACCCTTAAACCAAATGCGAGTTCTGGTGCCGATGACATCCCTTCAATCGTTTATAAAATGTCAGGGCCGGACATACAGACGCTACTACTCAAAATATACACATTATCTTTAGAGACAGGTACATATCCGGAAACCTGGAAGGTAACGTATGTTCTTCCCAAACACAAATCCGGACCGAGAAACCTGGTAGAAAACTACAGACCTATAAATATCACTCCAGTCATATCACGCATAATGGAAAAAGTGATACAAAATCAACTATCTGATCACCTACTCAAGGAAGATCTAATAGACCCGTCACAACACGGCTTCATTAGAACAAGGTCGTGCAGTACATGCCTGATAGACTTCTTTAACGAGGTTACTCGTATGCGTGACCAGAAGAAACTAGTTATTATACTATACTTCGATATTAAGAAAGCCTTTGATAAAGTACCTCATAATCTTCTAATCAACAGACTGAAGTCAGTTGGAATTATAAATCCCCTTTTGCAATGGATCAAGTCTTTTCTTACGAACAGATATCAAATAACCAAGATTAACTCTAATACATCTACACCTCGACCGATAACCAGTGGTGTTGTGCAGGGTAGTGTCTTGGGTCCATTGCTCTTTATAATCTACATCAACAATATATGCAGGTGTTTCAGCACAGGTAAGACCTACCTCTATGCCGATGACTTAAAAGTCTTCTATAAAACTGACATTTGCGATTTACGCAGTACTATGCAAACAATCCAACATGAACTCAACATGGTAGATGACTGGTGCAAACGCTGGAGGTTAGAGCTCAACATAGAGAAATGCGGCTGGTTATGTATAGGAGACACGTCTCTTAAAATGAAACTAACAATTAGCGATCACACACTCCCCAGACTGGCATCAGTAACTGACCTAGGGGTACATTATTCACACAGTCTTAATTTCTCTGAACACATCTCAGCCAAAGCATCCAAAATGCGGAAATTGCTTGGCTTCATTCTCCGTTATTTCTATCAAAATGAATCTAAAATCCTTCTTTACAAAGTTTGTGTAAGACCTATCGTTGAATACTGCTCGTTCTTATTTTCCAACCTACGTCTATCTGATATACTAAAGGTGGAAGGAATACAACGAGACTTCACCCGCAAAATACTTAAGACTGGCTCGGTCATTGACTACAGTTCTCGATGCCAAATCTTAGGAATAGCACCCCTTTGGGAGAGAAGGCTTAGGTCTAATTTGATTCTCTACTTCAAACTACTCAAAAACCTTACTTACTCAACATGTCAGATAATTCTTGCCCGAGATTCACATGAATACGAACTTCGAAACAAAGTATCTACGGTCAAAGTTGAGAAATACAGATCAAAAACTCGGGAAAACTTCTTCCTCACCAAGTATGCAATAATATGGAACAGTCTTCCTTCCGAGACTCGCATGGCAGATGAACTACATACATTTGTGAAACTGCTTGATCAAGCCCTCACTCGCACTGATCTTGCACGTACGAACACATCTGCACCCCACTCAGACATCATAGGCTCTCTCCATGTCTAGACCAAAATGGACTTCAAGTTCAGTTTGCCTTATTTTTCCTACTTTGCAGTTGTATTAATTACTTTTTCCACCCCATTTCTTCACTTGAAGTAGACAGGTAACTCACTGGACCTATCATTACTGTCAAACTAAACTCGGTCGATAAGGGACAATCACTACCACCCTAAAAAATCAAGAGGACCCGACAATCGGCTGCCTACTACCAGTGGTCTTGCATCTATGGAACCTGTTACCAATCAACTGGTTAAGACAACAGAAAATAACATCAGCACCAAGTTACTGTGAGTTCCTTCCTGTTTATCCTATATTAACTTTTTACTCTTCTGTACACAATGTTGACTAGCAATTAATATTATTTCTCTACTCGTTCCCTTATCCACAACTCATACTTCTATACTTTTTCCGCCTGCTTAAATAAACAACTATCCTACAATATACCCTTCTTAACGCTTATACTCTGTTTGGCAAACTATACTTTATACTATAGTCAACAGAGGCACTGCATCGATGCTTTACCCACAGTCCACAGCTTGTAACTGCCTGATAAGCTTGTAAAATGGTACTTATAGAAATAGTGCTTTCCAACAAGTTGTGAAACAGAGGATTGTGTGAGGTATGACGTATATACAAAAATAAGCTTAAATTAGCCTAACATCACAAAAGGAGGGAGGGTGGAGTTACTGACCAGCAAGCATTGATGGTGAGGGCGATAACTTCAATCCACCCGTGTTTGTGGGGACAGAACATTTTGTATGTATCAGGCTCTTTATAATTGAGAATAAGACAGTCAATCTAAGATATAGATTGTCTTCCTACGCTCACCACTCAGACTCATGTTTCCAATAATATGCTGGATTAGCTATTCTACTAAGACAACCTATAACATGCTAACTCGGACTTTTACACTAGGATTGCGTGGCTGACATCGGATGGACAAAAAAAGAAAAGAAAAAAGACAATAAAAGATATAGTCACTAGTATTCTTAACACTTCACCCTCTATATATACACCCTTCTAATAAACCGCTTCCCTTGTACCAACCTTGACTTCCCTTCCTTCATGTGAGCTTACTCCAACTTGTTAAACATCGCTACTCGTTGTTCTTTATTAGTACATTCTCTAATATGGAGCCTCTGACTTCATTTCACTCTAACAAGACATAATATGAATTTATTCTAATTTATTATACCTCTGTCCGTTCTACTACACAATGTTAAGCAACCTTTGGCGTTCATATCCAAGTGCCTTGCTGCTCCTCTGTTTCTTTTTTTTTCTCCTTCAGAATCTTGCACTGACAGCACAGCTATGAAACTTCTGACGTTTGGAGCAAACTTAACGTACGCGACCTCTCAAGGTCATAGTTTACAGCAAGCGCTCTACGATTTCACTTTATAACAACTATAAACTTAATAAGTTGGGAAGCATTTTGCGAACCAACAAATGTTGTAATTTATAGATCATGCCTGTAAAAACGGTGTGTACCTGCACATGCAGAAATATATTATTATTATTATTATTATTATATTATTCTACATCCATAACATATTCGATCATGGGTGTCTTCGAAGTATTGCTCGTATATCCGAGGATCACCGGGTAAATAATGCAGTTGTTAGGAAACGGGTACTATGTAAGGATGGCAAACCGATTGATGAAGTGAAATGTCATCAGTTGAGGCGGCTGGGACACGTGTTATGTATACCCAACCAACAAGTGCCCCGACATGAGATGTTTTATGGTGTTGGAGTTGGGTGAAAGAAAGGTAGGGGTAACCAGACCAAAACATGGCACATCCATAAAGTCACTGACGAATGGACTCACCCATGTCGGTAGGTGTACACCATTCGACCGGGATCTTTGAAATGATAGTAAACCACCTTGAGTGAAATGGCTCAAAATCGTTTGCAATGGCGTGGGTGTGTCCACTCTTTGTGTTCTTTCAAATTCTAACCTTCCGAATTCATGTTCTTGTTTCCTTTTTCCGAATTGATTTTACTGGATTATACTCCCTGGATAAAATCTACAAACCATAGTCTTCTCGATCGCTGCTTATACTTTTTACTACCTCTACCACCATAGGATATAAATCGATTATTGGATCTCTGTGCCAGTGCGGTGTGTACGTACGAATTTCTACGTTTTTGCTGACTGATTGACGGTTTTTGGTGTGGAAATATACATACGTTCTAGTCAGGCTAGTCACGTGCTCTAGATCTGAGCAGTATTGAAGCCCTGCAGAATGGACACTAGGAGGGTATCTAGTGTAGATATTCGTCTAAGGTAAATTAACCAACCATATGTGTAGATGAGGAAACCGAGCATTCTAACAGGGACCTTAGATACAGTATGTGGTCGTTGTTTGCCAGTCGTGGGAGGTATGGTATTTTATTTACATATTCTCAGTAGTGTGCACAGATAATATTCAGAAATGGTGCCTCAAGTTCCAAGTCAATATATGTCGGTTTTCCGATACGTTGTACAAGTGTGCACCGAATAATGGCTGACAAAATGCTGCTGTCAAAACATTTCCCCAAACTTGTGACGTCTATCTAGTTGATATACGGTGTGTCAAAACCTGCATAAACAACAAGGTTTACTCCTATAACAGATATGACTTAAAACAAAGACGCCAAGAAGAGGTAGATAAGGACTCTGATATTCACCAACCATCGTACATCATGTCGAATGATTTTGGGCCTTCTCGAGTTAGACCCGAAAGGTGTGGCCCGCCACTTTGCTTCCAGTTTTTAACTCATTAAGGTCATTCTTCTACTTGATTTCTTCATCAAGTGATAAATCAGGTTGGACACGAATATTCAGCTTGCCAGTTTTGCATGTGTTATTTATTATAATCTCCCCTCTCTTGTAACTTATGAGGGCCAACTTTAAGATCCTCCTTAATTGGGTCCAACCTCATCCTCTTCAGATCATGTGTTTGTCATCTGACGGGGTCATTTAATTTTGGCTCAGTTATGCTCTAAATTAGGAACAGATTTTACTTCTTTGAGAGTCGTGTTCACGGCTTCGGATCGTGCTGTCATTTACCGGTTTTTTTTCATTCTATGAAACTTACGATAAAACCGCATGGGATCAAAAGTTTTCCAACTTCTCCAATGTTAAGTCTAGTCCTAGACTTTGGATAAGTGACCCGGAATATGAGTCTATCAAAGACTTACCAACCACACGATCACCGGTTGTGGCTATTTTTCTTTCTTTTTTATGTTTCCGCACTGTCAACGAATGCTCGTCAGTCAGGACTACTTAAAACAGTATCAGATTTATCTGGGTCTTCAGGGACTACTTTATGATCGTGAACATCAAAAGGCAGTGTTATTTCACTCTTTATTTGTGCCAGAAAAGATTTCGCCTCTACATGGTTTGCAGTTGGGTGGTTGGCTCGTCCCGTGACAACACATCCCCATTCACACATTCTTCGCTGTCAGTGTTCATTTTGCCAGTCCAGCCCTCATCTTATTTCCTGCCGGCCAGCGCTAGAAGGCTGATAGCTTCTAGGATAAGTAATGTCATACTGAAACAGAAAAACATACAACACCAATGGAAGTTAGGCTTCCAGCATCTTCTGTATGCGATTGGATTCAAAAGGGTTCACGTCTTGCAGAACTACTTCCTGTAATTGTCACACTGCATTCCTTCACCTACAGAGAAGAAATAATACGAATGTCCATATTAATGAGTAGAATTAAAGTATTTTATAAGATTTAAAAAAGGGAAAAACCAACAAAGCACACAAGGTAGTCACTAGTGTGTTTATTAACTAAAAAGTAGTTAAAGTCTATTTGAAGGAAATCCAAAAACTTTGCCAAAATAATTCAAGTAAGAATAGATGAAGGATGCTATGGTATCAAAGCAACCAAAGTGCTGGATAAAATGTGACCATCCATTATAACTCAAGAGACTAGTCAGCAGACGATTTTACAGTGATCAAGAGTATTCAATTTAATGTGCTAACTAGTAATTCTCAAAATAGTTCAATTTAAGGCGAAACTCGATGAGCTCAAATAAACGTCCTATATTTGGAATTCATTATCAACCTGCAATAATGTACAAAGGTATCATCAGTTGATACAAGTAACACAAACGCCACAGCTAGAATAGGAATCCAAATTTCTGTAATCAACTATGGGTCTTACCATTAGGTTCATCATGTTTGTTCTGCTGTGTATTGAATACAGACTCTGTATGATCTTGAATATACTCATTAGTATTAGAATTAACAACCAAAATCAGACTCACCTTGTTCCTGGAATGGCGAGACTATAATTTATGGACGAATCAACCAGGTACTCGATAACAGGTCTCAAATTTTGGCGCGAAGTTAACCCATCCGTTTGGCTTAACAGAGTTTTGGAATCATAGCTGATGTCAGTTCGTGATAAAAACTCTAAATCTAATTCTCACCATGACCATCAGTTGCAAATCATAATTCTAATTCTTCACGCCGGTTTATAACACTCATTTGGTCCTAGTTATTAGGTGAACATTTTCAAGGTTAATTGAGCGTCGCTCAAAGGTCATCCATAAATTATAGTCTCACCCCTAAGAATACATTTGGTCGCTATGTCGGTTTCATGCACTTCAGTCATTGATATCTAGAAGTCTAACCACAGATTTTCCAACAATTTCCACCACAACCACCGTGATTGGTCAAAGATTATTCACACAACAATATGCAACATCCGCAAACTTGAAACACATTTGGCACGTTTCAGTTTGGAAAAAGCAGTAGGTTTGAAGGTCTTTGTTAGTCCTGGCAATGGTGGTCTCCCAGTTGATCCAACTTTCTTTTGAAAGTGTTGACAGATGGAGCCTCAACCACTTACTGTGGTAATGAATTCCACTCGTTGATGATTCGATGTGAAAGTCGATGTTCAGCTGACGAGTAATTTGCTCTGGACTTGTGAACTTTTTTGGAGTGTCCTCGTAAATTCTCTGTTTCGGAAGGCAAGAAGAACGAGGGTATATCAGGTGCAAATTTATCACTAAGCAATTTGAGAACTGTAATCAAGTCGCCTTTAGTTCTACGATATGAGAAGGGGAAAAGTTGTAGTTTGGCCAGTCGAGCATCATACGGAAGCTTCGCTATTCCGGTAATCAGCTTAGTTGCTGTTCTCTGAACCTTTACCAGAGACTCACAGTCGTTTTTTAAGCAGGGGCTAGCAGCTTGTATGCAGTACTCAGGTTCAGGACGTACGAACACTGTATACAAAGTCAAAAGTGTTTTAGCGTCGACATGACTAAAAGCCCTACGTATTGACCATAAGGTTCCAAAAACGTTGGACCTAACTTATTATCTCTTTTTCCTCCCACTAGATCGGGACATCTCAGAGGACATAGAAGGTGAGTAGAAAAGCGAAGAACGAACAAAATACCATTGGCATACAGGTCTTCACAACGAGTCATCAATACTTGGAACCTGCTGCCCGGAGCAGTGGTGTCTGCACTTTCAATTCAGATTTGTATAGTAAGAATAGAACGCTTACGGCCTATGTAATTCCTTTTCTGGTATGCTTCTGTGAGTGTCCAGTCTTATCTTGAATGAGTCAATTGAAGGTGCAGACACCACTGCTTCGGGCGGCAGGTTCCAAGAATTGATGACTCGTTGTGAAAACCTGTATACCAATGATATTTTGTTCATTCGCTTTTCCACTGCGCTGTTAAGTCCTCTGAGATGTCCCGATCTAATGTGAAGAAAAACAGATAATAAGTTAGGTCCAACATCATTTCTCAGTATTCTGTATATCAAATTAGATCTCCTCTTTATCTGCCATAGGACAGAGTAAATAGGTCTAGTTTTTCAAGGCGCTCTTTGTATGGTGTTCTTCCAGTCTTTTGGTAAACGACCCTGCAGTACGGACAGATTAAAACATGTACTTAAAGGTTTCGCAACGAAGTAAGTTAATTTTTTTAGTAACCTGGGATGCAGTTCGTCGGGTCCCGTGGATCCTCTCCATGTTAACATAGTTTATACGAGATATTCGCATGGTTTTTCCATCAGCTTTATAAGTGCACTACGTAAGCTAACGGGTCTGTAGTTACTAACTAAATCCCTAATCCCTGCATTATACACCTGACTTATTATGGCGTATTTTCCAACCTTTGGGCAGTCTAGACTGCCTTAGTGACATGACAAACAGTATCGCTAATG